TTGATTTCTTCTTTGCCTAGTAGTTATTCAAGAGTATTCTAACATTTCTACATATTTATGAATTTTCTAGGTTTTCTTTTGCTGTTGATTAAAAAAAATCATTTATTTATTTATTTGGTATAGGATCTCATTATGCAGCTAGAACTTGTAGTGATCCTCCTATCTCAGCCTCCCCTGTCATCCTACCTAGTGCTGGGATTACAGGCGTGTACCACCATGCCTGATTTTGGTGATCAGCATGGTGCGCCTAGAGTCCTGGGGCTGCCATGTCATGCGGTACCGGGGATTGAACCTGGGTCCTTGGGCTTGCCAAGTAGGTGCCTAGACTGTCTAGCTATCACCTGAGCCCCTGCCGTTGAGTTTTAGTTTAGTCCTTTTGTGGTCAGAAAAGGTATTTGGTATCATTTTCAGTCCCTTTAGGTTTGCTGACTTGTTTTGTGACCTGCCATGTGATCTGTCTTGGACAAGGATTTCAAGTGTGTTTGGGAAGAAAGTATATTCTGCTGCTGTTCAGCGGAAATGTTCTTTCTTAATTTACATGCAGTTGGACTGTAGTATTATTCAAGTTCATTGTTTCCTTATTAATCTTCTCTCTGGATGATTTGTCTATTACAGAGTGTAGCGTATTGAAGTCTCTTACTGTTGTGTAGTTTCTTCCTTCAGTTATGTTGCTTTGTGTATGTAGTTACTGTGATGTTAGGTCCATCGGATTGTATGCTTTTGCTGGATTCATCCTGTTGTCATGTCTTTATACTGATAATAATGTTTTCAATTCTTGTATCAGTTTTAAAAATAAATATGGATACTCTTGTTTTGCTTTTTAAAAAAAATTATTGTGTGGAATATCTTTTTTTCTACTCCTTTACCTTTGTGTCTTTAAAGCTTTGGAGAGTTTCTTATAGATAATGTATGGCTGGATTTTTTTTTTTTTTTTTCAAGTTAGACATTTTAGTTATTAGGGAATTTAATCCACTTACATGTAAAATAATTACTGATGGGAAAGTACTTATTGTTCTTTTTTTTTCAGAACTGGGGATTAAACTAGGCCCTTGTGCTTGCCAGGGAAGTGCTTATTCCACTGAGCCATCTCCTTGGCCCCTGGTC